CCATAAATAATCTCGATTGTGGTTTCCGTGCGCGTGAATTTAGTAATACGCGCCGCGTCCTCGCGCCCGCGTGGGCAAACGCCCCGGGGTGGGCAAACAGCGTGTGTCACGGAGGGGCGAGCGGTCCGTGAAGAGGAGGGGGGGGGGGGGGGGGGGGGTAGTGCGAGAAAATAAATAGGCACACAATCTCCGCCGCGCAAATACACATTGCGACGATATAATGTGTTTGCGGCGGCGCTCGAGTCTTATTCCGCGTGACGGACGTGTGTCGTGTGCAGGCGATGTTTAAAATATACGAAAGGTCCGCTTAAGTGACAGCGGGACGAGGGGACGGAATTATGGCGTGTGAATTATTAGTTGGTACTTGTGTGTACGAGTTATGTGTTCGATGTTTTTACGTTTCACGTGCTGTGGGCGCGGGCGATGTGTTTTATTGCGATGAGTTGGGTGATATTTATAGTCCAACTCTCTTTTTATTTACTGTTATGGGAAACTACTTTATAACTTGCAAATATGTTCTTCAGACATATCGCTGAAATGGTATAGTCTATGAATTTTTTGTGTTTTACGTGAAAACGGACTTGACTCACTTGGGCGGCGACTCATTTGATGTTGAATCATTACCGCCACCCATGGACAACCACAAATACTCACACTCACCAAAAGAGGCTTGCGCGGTTATCTCATCGAGATGGAAATAATAACTACTTTTCGCCGGTCTTCTGTAAGATGTCTTATTCCCCGACTTCGATGTCCAACATACATTTGAGCGATTCAAATAACTCAACATTTGAAGAAATCTCTAATAGCTTGTACACACTAAGCCTGAAAAATTTCACGATCGTAGATATAGATTCGTTTACTACAGATAGAATTTTGACGTAAGTATTATGGAGAATTTCAAATACCTATCGCTAGTAACCAAATCTATCTGTAGATAGAATATTGAAACCTGCTGAAAGTGGTTATTAGTTGAGTATCGAGTTAAGAGGCGTCTCTTGGACTATCTCAACCTGTTGATGGTGACGATTTTGATGTAACGACAATCATATGGGCTAATTAGAACGTTTTTGGCTGGTTTGGCGTGAAAGTATTGTCGTGATCGTCACAAAATTTGGCGAGTGCTTAGCGAAGGTACCAATGTAAGTTACCCGCTTCCGCTTATAACTTAACAGGCTGGCGATGAAGCCACAACATTTACATAGGAGTCTCGTCGCGAAGCCGCTTGTTTATTTAGCCCGTCACCGAATTCGGGGCGCATTTGAGATGGACGCACCTATATAATTAACTTTGCACTAGCGTTTGGGGGTACTTTGAGAGGGTAATGAATTTATCCACAGTCTTCCAGGTGACAATTATATGAATAGCCCAGGATTTTTCTGCCTTTCGTAATCTTTTTCTCCTAGTCAATATAATTAACTTTTTATTATCAGTTGGTACGAAAAGCGAGATAATTTAAATGACTTTGAAGGAAATAATAGAATAGATATTGTTAGAAATTGAAACGACAATTGATTTTTCAAAAAGAACTTAGTTTGCAGCAAGCCAAATCACGTAGTTTAATTACAGTTCTAAGTAGCCGACACGATCGTTATTAATTCGGGTAGAACTACAACGGCTCACTATCTTCCAGCAATATGTATAATAGCGGAGCGGGTATCAGCATCTTGCGCCAGAGGGTGTAGGTTCGATCCCCACTACTGAAAAATATTGTGAGATGAACATGGTGTTTTTCTAGTGTCTGGGTGTTTATATATGTATAATATGTATTCATTTACAAAAAAAAAAGTATGTACAAGCCCACAGTACAAGCGTTGCTTAGTTTGGGACCGAGAAGGTTGTGTAAAAGTGTGTTCTAACATATTTATTCATTGTTTATTAATTCATTAGAAACACAAATTATCAACATCATCGTCCTCCTACCTTTGTACCTGCTAGGTGGCGTCAGCAGAACATGTGAATCATTTTTAAAGTGATTTTGGCTAGGTTTTTTACGGCCGGCCTGCTGCCTGACGTCAACTCTCCTTGGGAATAAACACCCAGATCTGGAACAATTATCTGCGGGTCACACAAATACTTGTCCCGCGTGGGACCCGAAGCCGATACCTTGACAACTGCGCCACTGAGCCATTGTGTACCTAACACATGTCATTGTAAATAAAATGTTTTTTTTTGCTAATATGTTAACAAACTTCCTCTACAGACTCGTGGTCCGCACTCTTTTTTGATTAGCATTTTTTTTTATGTTTTTTTTTATATTTCTTTTTGTGCTGTCACCGCCGCGTACTCCAACCGGACTTGTTGGTGCAGCAATTAGTTCATAGTTATTGATATCTTCTTTTTTATGTAATAATTATTTACTATTTATAAGATTAAATGTATCTAAAATTCCTTATTGCCATTTTAAGGTTATAGACCCTTAACTTGCAGGTTGGTGCCACCGTGGGTTTTAGATAAGGCGGCCTGCTGCATCGTCACAGCCGTCTGTGTAATAAACACAGCTGACCGTGGCCGGGATACCGCCACTACGGCATGCTGAACACTTTCCTGTAGCTGTACCTTGCTCGCGTTTGTAAGCATGAAAACAACTGACCCGTATGCTAGTCCTTGTGCTTCGTGGATGGTGAGAACCAGCCGACGCCCAATCCATACCCCTGGTTGTTAAGGGACTCTTTTTCCGCCTGGGTGTAGACCAGAAAGAGCGTTTCTGGACGAGTTTTATCTTTTGTAACAGATAATTTGTAAATACATCAAAGGTTGACGAACCTAAATTTCGAACCAACTTTTCCAACAAACCAAATTTTCCAACCAAATGATAAATGTTACGGCATTTGAATTTATACGAGTATTTGGGTTATCAAGTCCGGGAAAATTTGCAGTCGACGCTGGCTAGACTTTTTTTCGCTACTTAACAACTTCTAGATAGAGAGTTAGCAATTGCAGTCGGTTTTTTTTACGCCGAGGAAAACTTTTGCCGGAGTTCAGAATTATCTCGTTCGGATTCGTTAAAAAAAAAAAACTTTTTCTGTTTGCAGGAAGCATGAAAAACGTTCGCTAGGTTGATTTTATGCGTTGATGAAGTTGAAAACTTCGCGGAGTCACACGACTCGTTTGCAATCGCATCATGTCTGTTATAAAGTTATGTCGTTGGTTTATGCTTGTGCTGTAAACTTTAATTGCGGATAAAGTAGAACGTCTTTTCAAATTTATCTTATGGAAACTTTACGTGGTTTAAAACCTTATATAAAACCAAGGTCTCTTGTCCGATAAGCGGTAGTCGAGTGGTTAGTTCAAAACGATAAATGTGTTTTGCTTCTTTACCGTGTATTGTGTACAAATTGTAGAAAGGGGAAGAACTATACTTTCGTGTTTCGTCTGGTGACCGAGATAACCGAGATGCAATTTGAACGTTAGCATCTGCGGCCCCATAAAATTGACACACAAAAATGTCATTAAAATCTTTCCAGCCGTTTAGGTGAAGTTCAGTGACATACACACGGAAACAATAATTATATATATAAAGATAAGACGTATACGATATACGGTATTGAGTATATCTGTGGTAAAACAGAACACACCACGCACAAAATGTCCGCAAGAAGTCGAAGTTGAATCGTACAATTGTACAGCCATTTGAAAGATCGCTCGGTACGTTTGAAAGTTTACACCTAGAAAGATTATCGTACCATCGTTCAGTTGCAAAGCAAGGCGAATCTCCAGGCACTAACGCTAATTGGCAACTAGATAGACGCGCGTGCACTGTCCCCGCGCGTAAAAACGTTTACGACGCCGTCCCACATTCGGGGTGGGCACGGCACGGCGAGTTTACGAGCGTATAAAGCGTCGCACAATAGCTCGCGCCCCAAAGCACATAAGGCGGCCCATTACTTAGCACCATAACTTCTGTTTAGAGCGACCGCGCGTCGAGCGCACCTATGCCTACATTGTCGCTTGAGTTATTGCATGTCGCCTCATCGTCTGCTCCTCTCATTAAGCGTAGTGGGTTCTAAAGGTCTGTTTCGCTATTAATTCGAATCGCCGTCCGCTTCGTGTTAATATCGAAACTTTACAACGGATGCGTTCGCCGCAATTATCTCTGAATTAACGGCCCTCGCTAGTCTTCGTCTTTCGTGGCATACCTCTTATTTGTACTAATAACTTATAAAATCTTTTTGCACTTGCGAACGTTTAAGTGGAACATTATTATTTACCGCTTTTAATTCGTTTGTCTAATTTTATAATCGTAAAGATGTCGCACAGACGAGAGGGACAAGTGCGAGTAAGAAGGGATTTTATATTTACTTGTTCAGCGGCATCTTACTCGCTAAATTGCACGATATAATAAATTGCATACACTTTAACAAAAAGCAACGACGACATGTATCGTTCGATTTGTCGTTGTAAAATGACATGTGAAATTATTCGTTTGCTGTATAGGAGATAATAATAGGTGCCAAATATCGCTTAAAATGCGAGGTGATGTAAATAAAACAAGTTTAGATTTTCGTCGGTGTGGTAGTCAGCCATGTTTAACTCAGTGGTGAAGCGTATGTGCGCGAACCCGTAAGACGTGAGTTCGATTCCCGAAGCGGCAATTTTTTTTTCTCCAAATTTTAAAGTGTTAACTTATGTTACACAAATAAACTGAATATTTTGCTTACATTGGCTTTGACAGCTTTTTTTTTTACACCGCGAAGCGTTCATGGGAGATGGATGTCAAAGATGTTATAATATGAGTGTTCCGTTTTGAACTAGATCGATCGATCTGATTAACAACAAAAATGGCTATTTTTTTCATGAGAGTAATAAATTCAGAGTCAGGTTGTCAAAAGGGAAAATACAGTTTGCTTAACAGTAATAGAACATATAATATGCGTGTTTTCATTTATGTTTTAGAATGGATTTTTATATTTTTTTTGTCATTTTGTGTAATTAAAGTTTGCTTAAGTTGTTTCCACTTCACCACTTCACCACTAAGCACGCGGCGAGTACATAACTCATTCATTAATTGCTTCAAACATTGGTAAAATCTTCAGTGGAATTTCTAACTGCAAACACGACTTGGGCGACTCCGCCGACGTCAAACACGTATTATTTGGCGAGGTGCTCGGAGTAAGCGAACTTTTGGAGGCACCATCCCGCCTTAGCGGCGCTATAATGTCTGTTTGTTTATTCACAAATCCGCCCTCGCTTTCCATTTCGGTTCCCGCTCGCGTTTTCCGCTCAGACTTTCGCCGGGAGGCCGGCGCGTAAACAAATCGGTGGGCCAAATCGCGAACTTTCACCGATTGGCCGGCCGCCAAGTTTGCGCGTATTGCTGTAGATTTCATCGGACACCGAAAGGTTGTAAATATGACCATGCTATATTATTTTTTATGTGAAAACTTGCCAAGCGAGCAGGCGGTTCACCCGATGTTAAGTGAATACCGCCGCCCATGGACATCTGCTACTCCCTTGGGGTTGCTGAAGCGTTGACAACCTTTTGAAAATTGGGCTCCGGCCACCTCACTCACCGGACGAAACGCGAAATTATTATACGTCCACTTCATGCCGGTCTTCTGTGAGGTCGTGATACTTACCCGGACAAGCCTACCCAATCGTGTAACAGCCGAGGCTGCCGCGTGGTCCCTATCACAGTTGCTATATGTTTCAATGTGAAAGGAAGACACGTAATGATGTTCTCAGCTTCAATAAAGCTTAATAATTCCAAAATGTTTTTCTAAAACCCGCTCCTCGCTACAAAACACTAGCTTCATTCTCTCGCTGTTCAAAACGTGACATTTTGTCTGTTAACATCTATGGGCGAGAAAAGAATTGTCTTTTTATCCAACGATAAGGTAGATAGAATTTGTTCAATGCTTCATCGTGCTTTTATAATTACACGGCTGTTTTTTACATTAGTAACATTAAAACCGAACAAGTACCCATTTCCCAAGACTCATCACAAAATATCCATTGCGAATATTTCCTTTACATTCGCGAAGCACGAACCTGTACCACAAATTGGATGTCGGTGGTCCGTTTGAATCTCTTTATCGCTGAAGTGTTTATCCGTAGATTGAATTTTTTACGAGTGGCCGAGTTTGAAAAGGGCTTATTTGAATGAAACGAAAATGTATTTCAATTCGCAAGATAGAAATCATCGGTTTACGCTGCGGGCTCTTTATAAAGGTGATCGGGGTGAATGTAAAATGTGTTGGTTGCTGTAAAATTTAATTGCGCCGCGCAGAAGACTTATATTGCTTTTTTGAGACAGAAACGTCCGTTGATGAATGGTTAATGGATGAATTACAAGCAAATTCTGGATTTTAAAGTTTTTTATAGTGCTAATCTCTGCACTTAAGATTGAACATTAAAACATGTAGACATCTCTCGTTCGAATTATCGTTGTAAAACGATATTCGAAATTGTTTGTATGCTGGAAAGGATATAACAATAGATGCGCCAAGCATTGCTTCAAATGCCAAATAACAATGTAGAAGGAAGGCGATAAGATTTTCGTCGCTGTGGCTATCAGCCGTTTAGCTCAGTGGCTAGAGCGTCAGGCCGCGAATGCCGAAGACGTGGGTTCGATTCCCACAGCGGCGACAGTCTTTTCGTACTTTTTCTACATGTTTTAAAATTCTGGATGTTAAGAAAACGACTACTGTTTTTTTTATGTGAGAAGATGGCAAGCGAGTAGGTAGAGCGGTACGTTGCTAAAAAAAAGATACCTAGGATTACGCTGCCGCTACCGTGGAGTAGAATGGTATTGAAACACAGGGTGGTTTTTTTATTAAGAAAACAAAAAACGATCTCTTCAGCACACCCATCCAATATAAGCGAGTAAACAGGGCCCTATTGGAGCGAGCGTGCATCCATTCGCCGGTTGTAAAAAAAACTTACTAACTCAACATCGTAAAATTTGAAGGAGGCTCTGAAGAGCGATCAAGAACTTAATGAAATTTCCTCAGAAATAGGTCGCTATAAATTATGTGAATATGAAGTTTTATAAGAAAATAATACTCTGATGCATACTCGAAAAGATCATCTTGCATTTTTCAATACATATTTTTTAATATATTGTGTATACTTATCTAATTTTTACATTGATTTACCTCAAATTATTATTAGTAATAACTTATGGAATAGTGTTCGAAGAAAAATCAAAAACAATTGTCTACTTTGTGTATGTAATATAATCACATATGATGTTTTTAAATTTTTTTATAACCGTGTTAAATAAGAGGAGGCTACAGTAACAAATCCATAAACTTCCACATATCAAAATATATAAACGAATAAATTAAGATTATTTTAGAAATAAGCCAAAGACTTGTTTGACTCCATATTTGCAACCAATTGAATTGCTGTACGATGATATGAGAATTGATAACTCACTTTAAAAGGTTCATGTAACTGTGAAAGCATGATTTATATATTGTGGCAACTCTACTTAGGTCAGACAAGGGCAGCAGAAAGTAGCCATGCCGAAAAAGGTGAATATTGCTAAAATAACATCGTTGCAACGCTTACATTTAATTTGGATCTAAAAGATTTGAAGTGTTGGACGTAATATTTCGAGATTAAACTGTACAGTATTTTAAATGGGGAATGAAATTTTCGTAAAGTCGTAAAATGGCTTCATAAATCCCCCGTAACATGTATTTACGGTTAAGGTAATATAAAATTGTGGCGATAGCAAGACAGCACTAAGATTGCTATGAGTTTGCGTAAACTACTTTTATTTGTTTTAATGTTTTGAGACACTGAAGATAGTCCTCGCCACAAGACAAAGAGATAAATTAGATTAAAAGATTTTTTACTATTTGTAAAAACGTATAATTGACGTCATTGTTTATCATGTAATGTAAATAAGCATAATTTATTTTGTTTTACCACCAATACGCAAAAGATTAAATATTTGTCGTTTCCGAATTACGAATATAAATTTTTTACGAATTTCTACTCATTCAATTTATTTTAAATGTATACATTAAGGTCTTTTTTTTTGTGGAAAGTGGCAAAAGAGCTGGCGGTCCACCTGATGTTAAGTGGTAACCGCCACCCATGGACATTTGCAACACCCGTAGGGATGCAAATGCGTTGTAACCTTTAAATAAAGTTGGCCCCGGCTACCTCACTAATCAGACGGAACGTAGAAGTGTAAAACTTCTACTTTACGCCGGTCTTCTGTGAGGTCGTGGTACTTATCCGGACGGCCCTGAACATTCGTCCAAGTGTTGCGTGGCCCTACCACCGTTATTTGCGCTGTCAAATAACACAGCGATACGGGCGAAAAATTTCATAAAAACTAAGATTTCGCTAACAGATCATTTATGGCGAAGCTTTTGCAGCATAGTACAGAAAGTGGACTTATCCCAGCTCTTAAGCCAACACTGCTAGTACCAACTAGTTTAATATCATCTCATCGCCAAAGTAATTATACTAGGCATCTAATCTCGTTTGATTAACCCAAAGGTTCGTGAACAGTTTACTACCGGTTAGCGTTTGTACGTGATAGCGTCCCGTCGCCCCGACGTGAATCTACGTGAAATCTACTATTCCGAACTATTTATGGCCGATATAAGAGGCTACAATAAGTCATATCTTACTGGCTTTTGCTCGCGACTTCCTCTACGTGATTATTTCCGAAGTAATATTGATAAGATTCAAGTATCTTATACATGATAATACATAGTGTGATTGAAGTTTTTTTTTTAACTTTAATGAAATACATCGTTACAGGTTGTAACAAGATCGTAGCTCGAATGTAAACTGCTCTGAACTTTTCTAGTTTTTAGGATTCTGTATCTAAAGGGTAAAGCGGGACCCTATTACGAAGACTCGAATCTGTTTGTCACCAGGCTGTATCTCATGAACCGTTGTAGTAAGAAAGTTGAAATTTTCACAGAGAATGTATTTCTGTTGCCGTTGTAACAAAAAATACTAAAAAAATAGAATAAGACATGAATTTTTTGCCATTTTCATAGATAGACAATCGCCAACAAAAAATATTTTTAAAAGAAAACTGTTTGAGCATATCCTTGCGCCTTGAGTCTTAGCTACTTAATAGTACTTACTATGTATGAACATCTGAAATGTATTTATGTGTATATGTATGTATATGTATGTATGTATATATATTTATATATATGTTTATGTTGGCAGTTTTTAGATTTATTACCTAATTATTACATATTATTTATTTAATTATGTATCGTATATAACTACTTTACTGCGCTTGACATTTTGTTTCTGTTCTACCTAGGGTTAGCTGGTAGAGAATGCAATATAGCATTAAGCTCGCCTTTGTACAATTTTCTGTGCAATAAAGATTAAATAAATAAATAAATAAATGGTACGGAACCGTTCGTACGCGAGTCAGACTCGCATTTGGCCGGTTTCAATGCATTGATAGAGGCAGTCACACTGAGCTTCTCATTTTGTATAGGCAAATCGCTTGAGCGTCACGTTACATTTCTTTTGTTAAGATGATGCCTTTATAAACTACTCGTACAGCTACTGGAAAGGGAATAACGGGGTTGTGATATAGAGTCAGTTTGTTTCAACGTGTAAATCTTATTTTTAGGATCGAATAGTCCGAGTTTATTTTTATGTGTCAAGTTGTTAAACGAGCTGACGGTTCACCTGATGGTAAGTGAATACCACCGCCCATGGACATCGACCACACCCGAGGGTTACAGATGCGTTGACAAACTTTTGAAAATTGGGCTCTGGCTACCTCACTCACCAGACGAAACGCGAAAGTATTTGTCATACTTTCAATTTACGCTGGTCTTCTGTGAGGTCGTGGTACTTACCCGGACGGGCCTGCCCATTCGTGCAATAGCCGAGACTGCTGCGTGGCCCTACCACCGTGACAAAACTATTTTTGATTTTAATATTGTATTTAATTTAATTATTGTGTTGTATCATAATTTATATCGTATATTTTATGTTGTATCATAATGTATATTGGTACGCTTAACTTAAATACTTTTGAGAGAAGCCACAAAAACTCTTAATGTAGTATTATTTAAACTGATGGATATACTTTATAAAAATACAAATTAATTATATCTTAATTCAATTTTCAACATATTTTAGAGTGGAGTGGCAGTCATAAAAATGTTTTAATTTTGTGTACTTTAAACTGATGGATCCAAATTTATCACGGCCAAATCCGTGGGACAAATTATATGAGGCTTAATAAACGACATGAGATATATATTCAGGGACATGATACTCGTCAATTTCCGGTTAATTATTTTAGCTTTGTGCCTGAAGTTGCCCTTAGTAGGCACGTGACACCAGGATTAGATAGATAGGTAAGATATATTCAGTTTAATGTGGCTATAACTTTAACATATACAGTTCTGCTTTCATACCAAATTAAATTGTTTAATTTCCTCGTACATGACCGCATTGTAGCCGGTTATAAATTATCTTTGTAATCGAAAATTCTTTAATGGTTAAATAAGTAAAAATGAAAGTGAGCTTAAAGGAGTCTGGATAAAAAATTTTGCCAATAAGTGTCTATGGGTGTTCAAAATGCCCATAGGCGGCGGTAAATATTTAATAACAGCTCGCTTGCTATCTTCCAATACAAAAAAAAAACAAATAAGCGGATTATGTCTTTGGGAACTTTAAAAAACGGACTTGCAGTGGTACTTAAGGCCACGATAGCCTCTCTTTTCAAAGATTCTATATATTTACATATACTATTTGAAAATAGCCGTGATAGCTCAGTGTCCGGGCGCTCGCCTTTAATTCAATATACTCGAGCAACCTGAGTTCGATCCCCGGTGCCGGCACCAATGAACTTTTTAACTTTAAGTGATGACTTATCACGTGCTCCGCGGTGAAGGAAAACATCGTGAGGAAACCTGCATATTTTCGAAATAATAGCAAAAATATATATATATTTCGAAGATATGTGAAGACCGCCAATCCGCAGTGGGGCCTCGTGGTGGACTATGCCCTGATACACCCTCTGTATAGAGGCCTTTGCCCAGCAGTGGGCCATGTATAGGCTTTTACTTTACTTTTATCTGAAAATACCGTTCCGAACGGCAATTTCAAAAAGGATTTCATCCGCTGTAAAAGTCCAGATAAACATAGACCTGCCAATTTATATACATTAGTTCCATATTATCGACCTTACGAACACTTTGCAGCATCCATAGTCAGATGACGTCTATGTCGCTGATTGTGCCTGGTTATTAAATAAGCTATGAAATGCACGCGACTCCCTATTATCTCTAACTGTGGCGATAAACGTACGAAACACACGCATTAGAATTCCGTACGGCGTGTGTAGGAGACCTTTCTTAACGTCATAACGACCTGGGACCTAATACTCTAGCAGTTTGCGTTATATACAACTAGCAACTCTGCCGCGGTTCTGCACGGGCAGAACGATTTCAAATAGGAAAGATTTAAGATGTAAAAATATACCAAATTATGATTTACTTGACGCACTTTTCGCAATTTTATTATTTTTACTTGTAACAAGATCTGAAACTATTGAGAAGGGAGATTAATGAAATAAATACTACTTTTAATTTGCGAAGAATTAGAATCACTTAATTAGCTGTAAATTTTATAGACTACATTAAAACGAAGAAATGACTTCATCTCTGCATAATGTCAGTAAATAATTATGGTCTATTCTAACAGTACTATTTTAACAGAGGTAACATTTATACGTTACTGACTGCTGTTTCCATGGTACACAAAGCATTTTAGGGCATAGACACACATTTTACAGGCTTTTAAAACAAATTATTGTCAAAACGATGAGAAGATAAAACACAGATGGGTTGTAGGTAAACGTCTTGTATTTTAGCAGTGTTGGTCAGTTTTATTGGCGAGAATATGAAATCGTCCAGTACCTAAGCATTAACGATCTGCGTAAAATCATAAAGACGACGTTAAATGTCATATAATATTTTATGCTTTTGTGTCTATATGGCTTGCCGGAGGGCTCATAAAACTTTAAGTATATAATTGTATGTATTACACGATATATTATGACTTAAAATCAGGTTTACCAGACAAATTTTTTATTGTAATAAAACAAAATACGATATATTACTATTGACTATCTGCCAGATGTTTGAGAAATAAATATCCAGAAAGAAATAAGACATCCTAATATATAACGTGTAGGACAAAAACTGTTAAAACGTCTTCTACCATCGTTTTCATACGTTATTATCATCATAGTACAACAATGCCACGAAACATTATCACAAGCTTGCTGTATCTATTAACCATCTGCTGGTTTGTGTAATTTTGTTTGGGTAATTCTTTATAAACATTGCCCTTACTGTAGGATACCATTATCCTGTATTCTAAGAGCGTTTTACAAATTTTTTTTTCACGTGGAGAAACACTCAGATTGGTAAAATATCGGTGGGTCTCACAAATACTTGTTCCGTGCGGGAATCTCACCCATCCCTTTGCCGAAGTCAGTTTCTTGACAACTATTCCACGGGGTCATCATCGCTCCACCTACTTGGTCACTAAACAACAGCGATGTAACCGTAGATAGGCGCGACCGTAAATGCCTGTACACTATTTCGTCGAGTTCGATACCGCGGTGATGGTGGACTTGTTACATGAAATTCGCTGCTCGTCAACGGTCCCCTAAGCCGGATCGCAGATGACAGTCCTCTGTCTCCGATCAAATTATACGGGCCGGGTGCGGCTTGATGAATGTGTACGAAAACGAGGCTCGAAACGGAAATATATTTATCGGGCGGGAGCGAAAGGGACGCTGAGCGACGCGGCGCGGGAATTCGTTTCCCGCGCAAACTTAAGTGAGTTAAATCCCCAAATAAAAGGTGGGCTGCGGAGTCAGCGGGAACCAGTTGCCGACTTTGACTCGCTATGCTAATGAGGCTGCGGGGTGGCGTCCTCTCCCCTCCCGCCCCTGCCGGCACCCGGACAAAACACTCTCTATCTGCAATGATCTAAACGTAAGGGACTTTGCTTGATCGCAGCCGACCCCGGACACGATTGTCCACCGCGATAACAAAGCACCGGCTCGTTTGAAACTAATAAATGCTTAACCCCCCCCCCCCCCCCCCCCCTTCTTACTCCACGTCCCTCGTGAGCCTCATTCAACGTTGCCATAAGCCCCGACTAGCTTGAAAGGTTAAATAAAACAAAATATCATACTGAACTTTCTGAAAGTTAAACAAAGTCGAATAATTACGAACGTTCCGAATCGGAAATTAATTAAATCTAAAACGGCCGGGATGTAATTCGTCGGAATCTAATTTGTGATGCTGATTAAGAAAAATATATACTATCCATCTAACGTTATACAGGGTCATGAAAGTTTCGTCAGAAATTTTATCTTAAATTTTAAGACTGCCATGTCGTAAAAGTACTAAAACTTTGATATAAAGATGTTCATTTCGGTCCAAATTTATATGAATTATATTTGTCTTTGGAGATGTCGCTCTTTAAAATATATGTAAGACATAACGGCCCAATTTACTTAGATTAGACACACTGAGACGTTGAAATTGCAGAATGAATAGACCGTACCTTCGTACGATACCTTTTGAAGAGCTGTATTTGGTCCTTTATTTAATTTTGGAGACATTTTCTTAATAATTTCATTTCAAAGAGATTTGTTTGCCGAGTTATTTAGAAACAAATTTTTATGTAATAACGATTTGGATACGTCTCAAGGATGATGGGAGTGATGTTACAGTACAACTTTCAAAATTGGGTTTGGGTTACCTCATTCAACGAGGGCTTGGTGATGCAGTTGCAAAAGGCATTGACTTCGGCGCCGGGGGTCGTGGGTTCGATTGCCACACAAGACAGCTATTTGTGTGACCCACAGATAATTGTGTCGGATCTTCGTGTTGAATGTTCTAATCATCAACAAATCCGTCATCTTCTTTTTGATGATTTTTAACTACAATAGATCTTCCGAGGTTGCAATGGTCTTAGGGATTTACTACCCAACCCCTTCCACACACAAAGCTACTACAAATATCTCAACATTCGAAACGTGAAAGTAAATACTGCCGGTTCACGCCTGTTTTCTGCGAGGCCGCGGCATTACCCTATATGAGCCGGCCAATTCGTAAGATTCGAAGCTACTGCGCGCCATCATAGTTTCCGGTGAGAGAGGTAACAGCGGCCCACTTTTTTAGGTTACTTCACTCACTTTCACTTTAACCAAAGGTTACCGTATTACTAAGGCTCCATTGTCTGTCTGTCATCAGGCTGTATCTCTTGAACGGTGATAGTGAGACACTTGAAATTTTCACAGATGATGTATTTCTATTTCCGCTATAACAACACTTAAAAACAGAATTAAAAAAAATTAAGTGTAACAAATTGATTTAGCAAATTTTTATTAATCATAATATCATCACCGGTGTCAGCAATTACCCCAACAACAGATTTTTTAAAATGCTGTTCAACATCCAAACGTTACATGGTAATTAATAGGTTAAACAGTCAGCCTTATCAAATAGACTTCCTTATTAACTTGTAACGGAAGTGAGAAAGTGTGAAAAGTGACCTGATTTGTGTTCAAAAAGCTTAAACTCTTTTTCTAAAGGTAGCTGTTAACGGTTATGTAATAATGTCCACAATAGCTTTGCAAACAACACGGTCAACACAATCTCGACATTAAATGTCACTGGACGTAGTAAAGGATTAGTGAGTCGTAAAGAAATAGTTTTCCGGCGGCAAAGGCTATAAAAGGCGAGAGCACATTTTTAAATGAGGAGAATTTCAAAGCGCCCCCTCCCCGCACCCCCCCTAAATACGAGGGATAACTCGGAGGGGGCAACTACAACAGAAACTTCCAAGCATAAGTGAAAATAATCATATATTATCAAATATAAAAGTTTTCCGCCCAGACATGAGCTGAATATAAAGAAATGCGAAGACCGTCCTCTAGTCGTAACCTCCAGTCGTTGACTTGAGGTAGACGAAAGGTAATTGAAATGGAATTTGCGGACAATGGTTCCCTTAGAATTTTATGATAGCTCAGTTGGAGCCAGTAGAAAGTATTTTACGTAGTACTTTTTGCATTAATTTCAGAGAGGCACTAGATTATTAATTGTATATTCTATATAGTTCGCGTTCATTTTAAAAATATTATTGGCTATGTGGTTCATGTTTTATTTTATTTTTTTTATGGGAAAAGGAGGCAAACGAGCATGCGGGTCACCTGATGGTAAATGATCACCGCCGCCCATGGACATTTGCAACATCGGTTGAGTCGCAATTGCGTTGCCGGCCTTTAAGGTAGGAATAGGCTCTCATCTCTAAAAGATCTTTAAATAAAAAAAAAATATTTTCTAATTTATGATAATATTTAAAAAACTACACGAACGCTTTTTTCATATTATATTATTTTTATATTTAAGAAACGTTTTAAACTATACACCTATAAAATGGATGGAGCATGTTAATTGCGACTAAACGAAGTTCACAACGAGGAAGTTATTGATTAATTTCGAAATGAATTCACACGAAAGTTAAGTCTAGTTATTAACCCATGCTGTTACCGACACTACAAAATTAGCTCGGCACTCCAGACTTGCAGGCGCAATCTAGTCTGGTCTAATCGCTGGGAAGCGCTTTCGGAAAATAATCTGTTCGCTGATACAATTAATGCGGTGAAAGGCAACCTCGCGCTAAGAACTGTAATCGCGTTCACTTAAGATTATAATTAAACTATGAATTGCCTTTTTGTTTCAATACAGTATAATATTATGATCGTCTACTTAACGCATCCAAGAATAATTGGTACACTTTAAATTTGACTGAATTTTGAAAACAATTTTCATTCGTTTCGTATAGTTTAAAAGCAAAAATGACTCAATTAAAAAGAGATGTTAATTATTACAAGTCTATAAATGAATTCGATAGGTTAAAAGAAAAAGAAAATTCTACGTTACCTCACGTCCCGTATGTCTGTCTGATGCATTGCGAACGCTACTTGAAAAGTTTTCACAATTGAAATTTTAAATGTCGAAATGCCATTGGCGGCCCTCTTGGAATAGGTAAATGCAGTGGTTGTAATATGTGGCAAGCGTGGCTGGCGTATTGAATAGCAAATTGTGGATTGTCATGGTAATGTTGATGTAGCGACAGACCACAATTTCAAATTACTAAAAGCACTCCGTTGAAACGTTAATTAGAAACCTTTTATGGACTTTTACAAATTGCAAATGTTGGACTAGCCGCATATAGTTCTATGGCATTATTCATCACGATGTATAAATATAAAACTGGACTATACTGATGTGAGTTATATACAATTTCCATATTAAATTTTACATCGCTATCGATTCCAGCGTGTAATACGCGAGCGGTTAATTAAAACAACCGTATCTATTTTTTAATCAGCGATCTTAATACAGCCGTAAAGTCGCGAGACGTTGTGCGACGAACAAATTATGAATAACGGTAGGCGGAGGCGTGTTATTACACGTCGCGGGTCGCATCACATAAAGATAGTAATTTACTTTCGCGTTCGAGCCAATAATCTCGCATGTTACCGGCGCAAAGGGTACTCCGGTGTCAAACGAAAGGAGCGTCGACGCGGGAGTATCGCAGAGACGCCTCTCGGAAAGCGTCGTGTACGGAGGCGGGCGCCTTATAATGGCAAGCAGCGCTTTCGCTATCTTATTTCAATTTAAACGCTCCATTGATTGCAGACGCCTTGGGCGTATTCGGCGGGAGCGAGCGCGAGCGGGCGATACATCAAAGTCACAGGTGAGGGACCGACGGGGCCGTCTTCCCGTGGAGGCGGAAACGTCGATGGAAGTCGCCGCGTCAAAGTCGCAGGACTAGCTCTCATTAAAACGACTCGGCGAAAGAATACGCGAATACAAGGCAGACCGCCCGATCGAATAGCAACGCTTCGGCCCGTTGTTTGAACCAACGAGCTCACGTTCGTTCGCGTCATGTTCTTGTTAGTTTTAGAGAGGGGCACGTCGCGTGATCGACTTCTCTTGAAAGTTTGCGCGCTCTATGGAGAGAGCAAAAACTGAGTTCATTTTCCCGAAGACCTTGCCAACAGCGTCTGTAGTGATGTTTCGAGAAATTTCCATTAAATATAACAGCGCTTAATGCATTGATTTTGATAGTTCACAGATGCAATGAATTTAAATGCCCAAGACAAATGACGGTCATCTTTCAATAATTTAATAATTAGGGAAACGAGAGACATAATTGATGGTCATAAAATTTAACAATTGAATTAAAATATTTTAACCATTCAACTGTTGGGAAGGAGTATGTTCAGCAGTGGACTAGTGCAGGCCGAAATGATGATGATGGACGAAACAGTAAATAAGATTTCACGCTCTTTCTAGCTGGGCCACGTTTAAGCCGCTAAGCTATCAAATCTCGGAGCAAGTTACGGCCCATAAGGCGCGCTATCCGGCGTCGCGCTGAAGCGGGGGCGCCACTCGTCAATCGCCCCGTCCCCGGGCTCACTTTTAAAACATGTCATTATTTTTTTTTATTATCGGAGCGCGAGCAAAAATGTACTTATTTCACGCTCCGCTGATCCGAAAATGTGACGTCGGCGAGCGGAGACGCATCGCGTATACGAGTGTACGGCGAAATTTACAAAGTGACGCCGTACTTTGTCGGGGTATATGTGAACGGTCACATTATGGCCACCGGCTTTATTCGAGTGACGTTGAAGATATCGAGCGAACGGCTAAGCTGTGTAATATTGAGTCGGAAGGACAGGTCAGCTGAGTAATCACGGTACTACGGTGCCGGTTTACATTTGAACCTTTCGTCGAAGTCTAATAATAATAATAATAATAATAATAATATAAAATTCTCCATGCTAGATTTCGTCCAAAATCGGATCAAGTGGTATGTGAGAAGTTAAAAAAAATATTGACAAATTATTTTAACACAAAAATGCAATTCAGGATTCATTTGTGTACATGCACTTTCGCTTACATTAACTTTTATAATACTGTATGTATCTGTGAAGAAGGCTGCGTTGCGCGGAACATGTCAATGGGTTAACTAATATAACCACTCTAGAAACACTGTGAAGATGTAAAAGAAAACGTGGAAGAATACTACGGTATTGGAGAGAAGATGAAATATGCTACTATAATACATAAAATATATATAGGATAGAAGATGAACTATACTACTATAATATTATATATAGAACTATAGTATTATACTAACGCTTCCCCGGTCCTTTAAGCTTCAAACGTCAGCTATGTATATATTTTGCTGAACTTGTGATTAGTTGTTATATAATTACGCGAAAGAAGAGAGTGGATATACTTTAAGTTCTGAGTTAGTGCTGTATATAACTTAACTTACTATGCTACGAATCACGTAGTATGAGAAGAACAGTCGACAAGAACTAACCAGTACATGATAAAAAATGTTTAAAGCAGTTTCTCATTTGTATACACGTGTTTGACTAGCTCAAACATAAGCACATATAGAAAAATCATCTGTTATTATATTAGTAAAAGTGTGTGATTGATTTTTATGGATCTTTTTTTCGCAAAAAATATTTCCATGAAAAGTTTTAATAAATTATACAGTGAAGTTAAAATTTCAGTATTGAGCACATGCGGAAACCAATCTGAATGGCTTGAATCGCCTTTGAGCTCCAACAGTATGGTAATTCGTAAGACGCTGTTTGCATCTCGAGTAGATCTGGTATCGTTTGATTTCTTTTTTAAAATATTCTTTCGCAGTACTCCAATAATTTTTTGGCTTCCGTACCCAAAGGGTAAAACGGGACCCTATTACTAAGCTGTCTGTCTGTCTGTTACCAGGCTGTATCTGATGATCATGAACCGTGATAGTTACATAGTTGAAATTTTCAGAGATGACGTATTTCTGTTGCCGCAGAATAAATAAAAATACATATAATAATAGAATATAAAACAGAATAATAAAATATTTAGTCGGGGCTCCTATACAACAGACATGTTTTTTTTTCCGTTTATATAGTAATCCGTTTCCGTTTTTAAAGTAATGGTACAGAATCATGCGCGAGTCTGAATCGCACTTGGCCGGTTGTTACTTTACACTGAAAAAGAAATACATTAAAAAACACTTTACTTTGGCACTAACAATAGATGACCTTCAGTACGGATATATAGTTTTCTTAATGGACGTGTATTGATTGCGAGGTATCATAAGATCGTATGTGATAGTGTAGTTGAAGGGAAGAAATATGCTTAGAAAAGTCACCCTTAAGAAATGTGAATTATCCGTGATGAGACCGTAGAAACTTCCAGATCGTTTAAAATATTTGCAATTCGTTCAAAAGGAGAGAACTCCAACTGAAGGATGGATTATTGTACGCCTTTAGCACTTTGGTGGTGGTGTTAATTAACCATCACAATTTTGATAAGTGGGGCGTGCTGAGTGATGATATTATTTCTCTTTATTATTTGCGATTATTTCGTCGATTGTCAACCAACGGCGTAATATTCGAACGGATGTCAATGTTTTTTTTTTATGTAAGAAGGTGGCAGCAAGCTGTCGTTTTACCAGATGGTAGGTGATAACCGCCGCCCGTTGACATTTGCAACACCCGTAGGGTTGCAGAAGCGTTGCCACCTTTTAGTAAAGTCGGCCCCGGAAACCTCCCTCACCGGGCAAAACGCAGAGCTGTTACACTTACACTTCGCGCCGTCCTTCTGCGAAGTAGTGGTACTTACTTGGACGGACCTACTCATTCATGCAACAGTGAATATATTTGCGCGGCCTTACCTCCGTTAGGTGCTAAAAAACGATGTGCCGAAGCTAACTAGGAGCTAACTAGGGGTTGATTATGAATAAAGTTAGCTGGCTGCACCTGTTCATATTTTCATAAAACTGTTCTAGTGAAAGAAGTGGGTAAGAAATAACAGTCTTATTAGCAGATTACTTCGTATGGCTTTCAATTTAAATACAGCAGAGAAAAAAGACAACAGTTTAAACAGTTTTCCTATGTTCATTACTCTAAGGTTATTTTTTTTATTTATACTTTATTGCAACCTTTAAATGAAAAGGATTACAAAGGGCGAACTTAATGCCTTTTGGCATTCTCTCCCAGTCAACCCGGGGCGTGCTGGGAAATCGTGGTAGGTGCAATTATTACATTAAATGTATTACTTATTTATATGTATTACTATATAATTACTTAAACATGTACACACATAAAATATAAAAAAACATATATACATATACAACTTAAATATATATAATCATACAAACGATAGTGGCACAAGAATAACATCAACATTCTAGGTTATAAGGGGTCATTTAGAAATAAATCACGGACCAAACGTTTGAATGATGTCCTATTAGTTTATATTATGATTTTTTTTATTTCAATATAAACACAGCGGGCCTAATAGCGCTTTATTACGATTTTTACGAGCAAGTGAAACGTTGAACTTGAAACGATGATTGTTCAACTTCATTAAAACGTGTCGAGGCGTAATTGCGCTGCATTAAAATTTTATTGCGCACACAATGTTTTCGGTTTTAAGTGATTTTATAACCTTTGGGGTTGTTCGACGGCTTGTTAATTGTACTTTAACGTTTAGTATTTATTTGTACTTTTTTAACACAGGCGTTAAAGGCGTAAGGTCAGGCGTTGTATGGAAAGTTAGGGTTCTCGTCCGATTCTTAATGGCTGCTGTCTGTACAAATGTATAGGTAGATGTGATAGTTCTATTTCATATTTTTGTAACGTAGGAATTGTGTCGATGGCTTAGCTAGGTTTTGATGAGACTAGAACAACGTTCCCTCCGATATTTTCACTTTTAAAATGTTTCACGTACAAAAACATAGAAAAACGAATAACACTCTAGTTATAATTATTTAATGTTAAAATAGTTATTTTAATTGACTTAATTTTTTTGTTTAAAATTTCTGCATGACGCATACGAGGATTTGATTGAGGTTCAGTAAAGTAAAGTAATAGCCTATACATTCCCCACTGCTGGGCAAAGGCCTCCTCTGTACAGAGCGTATCATGGCATAGTCCACCACGTGGCCCTATGACTTCACATATCTGAGCACGTTATAAGTCAGTACTTAAAAATAACAATTTCATAGGTGCCAGCACCGGGGATCGAACTCAGGTTGCTCGAGTACATTGAATTAAAGGCGAGAGCCCGCGCACTGAGCTATGACGGCTCTTTCTTTGACGTTCAGTATATCCTGGCAATGAAACATCCTCCTTCCCTAGGAGGTTGCAGTAGTGTCACCAAATTTTATAGGAAGAGAGGGAGGGATGTTACGGTCTACCGTATTAACCATTTTATATTAAAATGAAAAAGTGTAAATACTTTTAAATTACGATGGCTAGCTGCTGCAAAGCCCCTAATCTACAACATTAATATTCATTGCGATAAGAAAGGTCATAAACATTGCTATAAAAATGTTATTTTATGTTTTGTCAAAAATGACACATTCTAAGATTTTAAATAGAACACCAATGTGAATAAATAAACCAATGAAAATAATATACATCAACATGTATATTATTTTCATTTCATTTAGAAAAACTGAGATTAAACTATAGAAGATTTTTATAAGGTAGGTTTTTATAACTTCATTACAGCCAATTAAAACTACCAACAATTTGATATATTAACATTAAGATTGAAGTTGAACCAATTCGAAATATTGGTTTGAAAAGACTGACTGACCGGTTTTTCAGACTAAGCTCGTATGTTATATTGAAGAAGTATTCTCATTACCCCAAAATAATACTACATTGTATCCCTGTAACCTTGGTTACTAGCGGGTCGAAAAAAAGCGTCAAATGAACGAGGCAAGCTCTCCGGTGTCAAAGGTGCTAATGATACACGGTATGCGGTGGCAGCGTAACCCCACGCCGCTAACTGTCGTACATAGTTCAGCGTAGCCCCTCACTGCTACGCCGCCGTAGGCCTCTACGCGACGTACGTTATTACGTAATCACCGACTATTAACGCGCTATCCGTCGTACAATGTTAAAGCGCTTCTAATTACCGGACAAACTGTGTAGCGGACGGTTTTTGTGCGGTTCCCTTTTGTTTGTGGAGTTTGTTATGTTTTAATACACGAAGTTTTGGGTGCGTAACGAAACAATTTCACAACCACACACGGTTCAATGACGACGCTGCAGCAAGTGGTCCTTCACCATTTGTATGGGAAAAATGTACCAATGGGCAAATGTTAAACATTGCTGAATTTACAGTTATATTATAAAATTTAAAATGTATTTATTAAAAAGTAAAATAACTATTAAATTTCTAATCATTTTCGAAGCGTACGAAAAATACTTAGTAATATTGTCTCATGTAAACATCATCTCCATATTTTAAAACATGTAGAAAAAGTAAGAAAAGATTGTCGCCGCTGTGGGAATCGAACCCAGGTCTTCGGCATTCGCGGCCTGATCATCTCTATAGATATATACGTTGATATTAATCACATATATAACACCAGCTACTCTTGTAAAACCATATCAGTGGATATAACATATAATTCACCTATTTAGTAAAATACAAACAAACGTTCGTACGTAAATGCGCTTCATCTTCGTAAATTCGAAAAAAATCGTCAACGTGATCTCGTCGCGTGGCTTGTTTACCGTCGAGGGCATATTAAAAAGCTCCTATCCTCAATTGCGAAACTACCTATCACTCGCAATCTCGTCTTACGCCGGCGGCCACCTGAATTTCGCGCCTATATTTAATCCCCCCTTCAGCCCCCCCCCCCCTCTACCCGCACCCTCCACCCCAGAAGCTTGTTGGACCGCAAGCCGTGCGTGAAAAGGTCGAGACCGCGATGCTCCGTCCGCGTATTATGATCTGCAGACGTGACCCCCGCGCGGGCATCGAAAATAGATTTCGTCAACATATTGGGCGGTTTGCCGGCTGGATGTTTCGCTGCGATATCACCGAGAATACTGCACGTTTTACAGCGAATAAACGGTGAATTGGTATGGTTTTAAGCGTGTGTGTGTGCATTTTTAACATATCGACACACAGTGCCACGCTCGAATATATCTGTTTTGAAATAAAGTGTTGATGAAAGAAAGTAAAAATTTTTTTAAATACAGCACAGCATGATTAAATAAATATTTAAATTTTAATCCCATTTTCAGAATGTTTTTGTTTTGATAATACACTAAACTTCAATACTAATTATATAGATATACAGTGTGATTTTTTAGTCGAAGAACATACTTTGACATAATGTTCTGAATCTCATTCCATAATGAAAATAAATATTAATATTTTATTTTGACAAGAGATAACCAGAAAAATATCAATTCAAACATTGTTTATTTATCTCGTTAAGAGTGGTCACTCTATTGATAAGCGTTTTAGTAATTAAGCGTCAATAGGTTATTTGTATTGTGACGGTAAGGCAGGAATTTCTTAGTGTCCATAATGTTTGAAAAAATCAAAACTAATTTTTGAAACAAAAATAATGAGGTCACAAGTGCGTACCAGATTCAGATTTAGAATCAAATTATACATATCCTCTGTGTATATATGCCCGTCGTTTATAGAATTACCCTGTATTACATTTAAAGACGTGTGAATCCAAAAGCCGTATTAAATACATTTTAAAGTAGATCATTTTTTAATGTTATTTAATTTTAGTGTAGAAGTTTTAGTAATTTAAACACTAGTTACAGAGTAAACAGCAAAGCCAGTATAATAAACTTTGATCTTTCATTAAAGACTTAGAACGCTCATGATGTTGTATACTTAAATGTGTTCCCAAAAGCCAAGATATGGAATGAGAGAAAGTCATAGGTGTTAGAGTGGATAGATATGTCTTTTGGATGCTTGAAATTTCTAAAACGAAGCTCGCAATGAGATAAAAAAATTAAATAGTGGCGCTTACAAATATACTTATAAATAAATAACGTTGCATGAAATAATAAACTTGTATCTGTAAAATGAAGCCAAGCTTAAAGCATCTTTAAGTTTTGTAAATTAGTATCATGGTTACGAATAAATATATATGGGAGGCTATCAGCATATGAAGATCTAATTCAGTATTGACTGGAGGATGTTGCATAGAGCGCTAACCCAATTCCTGTATAGACGAAGCTGGATTATTTCTATGAACGTAAAGTATATCATTGTTTAGTGTCACAACAGGACGAGAATCCATCACGTAATCGGGCTTTCTCAGGGCCTGGGGGCGAGCGCCGCGGAGGCAATTTGCATCGACAGAGCAGCGCAGTGTCGACCTCTTGTTCAATGTTTTACGTGAACGGGAATATAGTTACGGTGCAGGTGCGAAGGGTAAACAAAAAAATGTATTTTCAGGCGGGCCGATCGAGTTCGGCTCGCTGGCATAAGCAGACGTGATATTGCATAAGCTTGAATACTGCGAGGGGTTAGGCGAAGCCATTTTTATGCGGAGTCGATTTCGATACGCGAATATGTTGTTTCCCCTGTATGGCGAAGATGTAAAACTACGTTAACTTTACCTAGTTAATTCGTTAATTTCTTACTTTAAGGCGACATCACCTGTTGTTCGACTAGAATAATTCGTAATAGTCTGATTTTACCTGTAATATTTATAATACAGTGTCGGCTATTTTACCTCCACACAGTTTTAGCTAGTCTCTATTCAATTTAGTTTCCGGTCTTAGTTGTGTAAATGTTGAACAAATTAAATGCTTATAGACATGTGATATTCAGTTATTTTTTAAATTATTCAAAATAGATGTTAAAGACGAGAATGAAAGTTAAATGCAAACTCCACTACTAAATGCAAACTACGTAAAATATACATGGCTCGGAAGAGATAGAGATAATATGGTTCAACCGGGATGTTACGTTTTATGTTGGTTTTCATGGTGGTAGGGCCATGCAGCAGCCTCGGCTGTTGCACGAATGGGCAGGCCCGTCCGGATAAGTACCACGACCTCACAGAAGACCAGCGTAAAGTGGAAGTATGACAAATACTTTCGCGTTTCGTCTGGTGAGTGAGGTAGCCGGAGCCCAATTTTCAAAAGGTTGTCAACGCTTCTGTAACCCTCGGGTGTGGCAGATGTCTATGGGCGGCGGTATTCACTTAACATCAGGTGAACCGTCTGCTCGTTTGACAATTTTTCGCATAAAAAAAAAATATGTAGGTGTTTATTTTCTAGGGAAAATTCTAATACAGAGGAATAAGATATTGGATGGTGTTTCTGAGATCTCTAAAGATAGTCATAAATCTACGAGAAAACTAAGGCTAATTTCAATTTTTCCCGTTTATATTATGTTGGAAGGGCCTAATCACTGATAATTCAGTAATTAGGCCCTTCCAACCTTACCATTAGGTAACCTAGATTTGAGATTATGAGTGTGATTCTACAATAGACTCGCCCCGGATTCGCACGGCTGCAATGCTGAATGTTTGTTTTCGACATCGCATTAGACACCTCTAAAATTATCAGTGTTTCTCTATTATGTTATGCATGAATTGTATATTTATTAAATATAACCGCATAAAAATCTGTTCCGAAGTTTTTAATATCTAAGCATATATAGGGACAGACAGCGGGACGACTTTATTTTGTACAATGTAATGACGAGTGAATGTATTTGGTTATCATTAAATATATCATTAAATCAGTCATCGCGTTGCTTTTAATACACACGTAAAGTACTCAGCCTTCATGTAACATAAAAAAAAGTTCACCGACGCGACAAAGTAACCGTACTGCAGTTAATTATGCCTAAACGGAAATATAAATGTCGACTGTTTTATTACAATAAAGGGAATCGTTGGAACCGGCACAGTCGTTTTCAGCACTGTCGCCTTCATCGAAATAGATTGTAATTAAACGGGGCGAGACGTTTTTTTTTTATATATATAAAGTAATATCGCGAGCGGGAGAAACAAAGGCACCGCGCAAAAAATAGCACGTTAAAAAACCTTATTGTCCGAAAGTCTTTAATAAAGAGAAAAGATTCATAATTACAAAAGCGAGACGATATTAAGCGAACAAAGTTATGCACAAAAGAACCTTTTCGGCGCGCGCCCCACCGTTCACTTTGTAACTGATTGATGTAACTCTCTTTTGGCTGTTTCTTATTAGTCTCTCAGTAGTGGGCGACGCTGGAACATAGGGCAAGTCCACGGGAATATTTCTCAAATCGAAGACTTAAGTAATAATATAATATGAGTAATAATATAATATGCGGAATAATATAATAATAACTTAATAAAATAATAACTAGTAATAGAAGTAGGTTGTTAGGTTGTAACTAACGGAAGTTGTAAAGATTTTTATGTAAAGGACGGCTGACAGATTAATCAATTAGTGACACAAACGAATTTAATGTAAAACGTAACAACCTTTTGAATATAAGTAAACCTAATGCAGTTTAACAATTTAATTTAAGAAACGATTTTAACAATAAACGATTTTAACATAATTAACGCAATGTTTCGTGACTCTATCGCGGTATATTGTGTTATATTATGGTTACGTTTAACATAAATATTTTGTACATAGAAAACAAATACTTTCGCGTTTCATCTGGTGAGTGAGGTAGCCGGAGCCCAATTTTCTAAAGGTTGTCAACGCATCTGTAACCCTCGGGTGTAGCAGATGTCCATGGGCGGCGGTATTCACTTAACATCAGGTGAACCGTCTGCTCATTTGGCAACTTTACTTTTTATCCGTATATAACGTATACCCGTGATCTCGAATAATACGTCTATCAGTAGGGTTAAAAGAGTCGGCAAAACTAAAATATATAAAATACTAATCTTCCCTCATAGTACTTACAAGTTATAGTTACACCTCCACCATTTAAGCGACTAGCGGCAGGTGGTTATAATTTACTTTTAATTAGACAAGTTAATTAAACTCTTTCGACTAGCACATTTAACGTGTAAATGTTATTAAAGGCACTGTTAAATTAACAAACTTTTAGTTCGACCATTTAAAAGTGCCTTTAAAAAGAAAATTATCTATTTAGCAATTTAATTTATGCAGTATTGCCAGCCGTAAATTGAATGTGAATAATCAGCTAAACTTATCTATAGGTCACACAAATATATATGAGTAGCGGGAAGTGTGTCCACGGCGGGTGGCGTCAAAAATACCAAATATTATTTTTTACAAACAAATATGGTAATTCGTTTGCATATACGTATATTTAAAGTGAACATTTCCACGTTGTCGATGATCCATATGACGTAGTCAACAATGATGATACAAATACAAATTTCCCCTTCCTTTCGCATGGAGTTATATATAGTCGTCGTATAACACGAATATAGTCGAATAACGAAGCAAAGAACGAGTGAAATCTATTCCTTCAAAAGGGAAAGTAAGATTGATCGCGAAACTCAAATAAAGTTTGGGTCGAGTTCAAGTCTACGCATTCCCCTGTAGTCGAGGGAGGGTTCGATACCTTGAAAGAACCGTACAGCAGTATTAACAATGTTTGTAAAGTGAAAAAGTAATAAATAAACCAATAGGTGATGTTATGTACATAAATGTACTGGGTTAATATACGAGTAATACATCAATATATTTTTACTATTACTTTGGAAACGAAAAAATCTCGCTTTTATATTAAATGAAAATATAATTTTGGGGATTGTAGCAATTCATTATATGAAGACTGATAACATCGGTTACGTAACAATCGTCGAATTTGTTAGAATATAGTAAGGTCGCCTTAAACATAAATATAACTATATAAAGGCCTCCTCTGTTCAGGGGGTATCAGGGACTTGTATCTGGGGTCCAACACGCGGCCACACTGCGGATTGGCGGACTTCAAATATTTTCGAAATATTTTTTTGTCATTACTTTGAGGGATGCAGGTTTCCTCACAATGTTTTTCTTCATCGCTGAGCATATGATAAGTCAGCACTTAAACAGCCCTTGTTTCCCAGTCAGCACTTGTTTGACTCTATTGAATTAAAGGCGAGCGCCTGGACACTGAGCTATCACGGCTACGTTGGTACTCAGTTAGAATATACATCTATTTATTTATAATAAAATATTTATATCTGACACTATGATATTTCTTATAAGAATATCAAATAAGCTGATCCTGACAATGTAACGTCACAAGTAATAAATATTCTCATTCTTAACAAGTTTTAATTTTTTTTTTATGTGAAAAGTTGCCAAGCGAGCAGACGGTTCACCTGATGTTAAGTGAATACCGCCGCCCATGGACATCTACTACACTTAAAGGTTGCAGATGCGTTGACAACCTTTTGAAAATTGGGCTCCGGCCACCGCACTCACGAGACGAAACGCGAAAGTATTATACTTCCACTTTACGCCGGTCTTCTGTGAGGTCGTGGTACTTACCTGGACGAGCCTGCCCATTCGTGCAACAACCGAGACTGCTACGTGGGCCCTACCGCCGTAAAATATTGCTTAAATTAATAATGTAACATTCAATATGAGTTTTGTGGGATATGATTATTAATTTCAGTTAGCCAGGAAGTCTATTCCTCTATTGGAAATTATTTCGTAATAAAATATGATTAAAAGGATTATGTAACTCGGCGAATAAGGAACAAATGTTTATGGGGAAAAAAACATCAAGTGAATTGAAAGAACTATCAAGTATCCACACCACAATAGGAAAAATCGTTCGTATCTAAAACGTGTGTTACATAACAACGCCCGTGAGGATACATAAGGACGTACGACATTTCAATTTACGTTCACCTTGTCAAACTCGCACGACTAGTAGGCACATAGTTCGAGTTTTCGGTTGGATTCGCCCGCGATGCGATCGGAATATAACCCCGATCGCGTCCGCATGAAGGAAGACGCTCGTAGATTGATATTTGATCCTCAAACTCTTGTTGGGGCCGAACTACGCCGGAGGCGAGCTACAGAGCAATCGATGCCCGGAGAGACGCGAGACTCGAGCTGGTGGTTTCAAAGTATTTTTAGTATGTTTTTGACGATGTTACCTTATTTTTGATATAGTATTGAAGTTAGACAGCCTAGAATTGCCTAACAACAATTAATAAAATATTATTTTCTGAAATTATTAGTAATACTCAGGTTGTTATTTTTTATTTCCGGTTTGAAGTTACGATTAAAAGATTAACGCGCGGTTTTGATAAAAAGATAATTCTGACCAATTCAGAGAGTTTAATCAACCTTTTCGCAACTAAATTGACAATGACATTGATTTGAAAAGTCATTTGAGCTGATTAGTTAATTTCTACGATGATCAGTGTTTCAGAAACCGGGCGTTAGAATGTTAAATTCATTCTAAGCCTAAGAAAAGATTTATGGAAAAGAATTAATGTAGCGTTTGTGTTGGAGATATTCATATTGCCCTGCTTAAGAATGGATACTTATAATCT